TGTATTTGTTTGACAGAGACACAGCGAGAGAGGGAACACAAGCAGGGGGAGTGGGAGAGGGAGAAGCAGGCTTCCCATCAAGCAGGGAACCCCATGTGGGGCTCGATCCCACTACCTGAGCCAAAGGTAGCTGCTTAATGACTGAGACACCCAGATGCCCAGGAGTAAATCTTTTTCGTCTCTGGTAAGAATGATACCCAAACATGAAACTGTAGAACAGGTCCAGGTGGGAACAGGGTGATGATACATCGTAGTTTGTCTGGGACAGTCTTTTTTTTACATTGTGTCCTAGTGTAATTATTACTAATGCTGCTTTTCACTCTCAAATGTCCTGGTTTGGATGAAAATATTACATGGCCACCCTAGTGATAAAGGCAATGAAAGTAAGTGCAGAGTTGTTCCCTCCCTCCCCCTCAAAAAAGCATCTGTTTAAAGAATTTATTGTTTCTAGGCTTAGATAAAAAGCATCCTCTAAGGTTAGTGGGAACTTACAGATGTATTGTAAAGCACTACCTGTAATTTCTGAGGGACCAGAAAACAGAAAATGTGCCAGAACACAGAGCTTGGGCAAAAGTTTAAATTTAAGGGGTTAAGTTCTATTTCAGAAGCCACAGACCAGGTAATTTACCTTATAATCTAGAAAAATTCTGAAATGGACTATTAACGTGTTAAATCAGAAAGCCATGCTCATTATGAAGATATGAAGAATTGGTAAGTCAGAATAGATGTCTTTTTGGGCAGTGGTTAGGGCAAGAAAACAATCGTAGTATCAGGCTTCCAAGATTGATCTGATCCTCCCTGTGTCATGTAGATGTTTACATATGGCATCAGGAGAATGGCCATCCAGTTTCCTTCCTGTCACCCATCCCAGCTAAGTAAAATGAGACACAGCACAAATAGGCAAGTACACGATCTTCTGAGTAGCCCAGAGCTGGAAAACAGGGCAGCAATTCCTAGCAATGCTTTGCTATTACTGCAAGGTATTTTTTTATGATTTATTAATTTGAGAGGGAGAGAGCAAAAGGGGCACAGGGAGAGAATCCTCAAGCAGACTCCCCACTGAGTGTGGAGCCCCATGCAGGGCTCCACCCCCAACCCTGAGGTCACAGCCTGAGCTGAAACCAAGAGCCTGGGACTTAACTGACGGCACCACCTGGGCACCCCTATGGCACAGTTACTAACACAGAGAAAGGGCGGCCTCTATTAATTTCCCTGGAGCAGAGTCCATTCTAGTTATGGAGATAATCTCTTGCCCTTTGTCCATTTATTATGTAATTTGGCTTTTATTTTTTCATAATAATTATTGATCCTATGGTGCTCTAGCTTGCTGGGAATACAAAATTAGAGGAGTTCCTGCATCTTTGACATTCACATGATATAAGGAAAAGGGATTCATGTACTTCTGTACATGAATTAGACTGGATCCTCTAAAATACACAGAGGGCTGTGGGACCACAGTGGGTGGTAACTGTCCTGGGCATTGAAGAGTGGATAGACAGAGTTTATTAGGCCAGGCAGGGGAGAAGGAGAGAGGACATTTTTTTTTTTTTAATATTTTATGTATTTATTCGCTAGAGAGAGTATAGGCAGGGAGAGTGGCAGGCAGAGGGAGAAGCCGGCTCCCTGGTGAGCAAGAAACCCAACGTGGGACTCGATCCCAGGACCTGGGATTATGACCTGAGCTGAAGGCAGACGCTTACCTGACTGCGCACCCAGGTGTCCCGAGAGGGGCATTTTAGAAAAGCTGTTTGTGGGCTGCGCTTTTCCTCTTCCTCTCCAAAACCTATTGTCTAAGGGCAGGCCAGCCCTCGCCCAAAGTGCTCTGCAGTGTGGAGCTTTGGCGCTTCCAACTAAAGGCCAGGTTTGAGCTATCAACTGAGGATTCATACAGCTTCCCATTCTGATTCAAGGACTACTAAGTAATCTAAAAAATAAAAACTGGAAAAGCTTGTGACTGGTCATCTGGATTCAGAGTAAAATGTTCACATTATGATATTTATGACACACTGAATTAGTAAAAAGTCTAAAATATAGAAATATTTTATAAATATAGTTTTATTACTTGGAAATACATACAAAAATTCAAACACAGCTAAAAAACAGTTGCCAGGCAGAGGTCCTATCCAACTGGTTCTAACGAACACAGAAAACAGTTATAATCAGCATAAAACAATTTAAGTCCTGAAACGACTTACTGTCTTCAGGGTCTTTAATTATTGGGCTTAAAATTGATTAGTTTTATTCTTATCACCTATTTAAATCCTTTCCCCAAATATAGATTACTAACATTTCAGTTTGGTTCATGAGATGTTTATTTAGAAAGATAGCTACAGCAACTTAACTTAGTTATTCTGAGAGCGGGAATACTTTATGTTCATTTCCAGTCTTCTGTCGCCACAAATTCTTCATGATTTCCAGCAGCTGCTACCAGAGCACCTGTAACTTCCAGAAGCTCTTTGGGATACTCTTTGTTCCAAAGAGACTTGAAATTATTTAGGGTGGCAGGATTGTTTTTACTTCTCACTTTTGCTTTTTTGTTTAATGTCAATTTATTTTTGCCACACTAGACGACATTTCCTTGTCTGAGAAAAAATAAAAGTTGAGTTATTCTGCTTTTCTTAATTGTTAATCCATTACACTCTTTCATCTATTTATTTATTTATTTGCCCTCAGGTTTTTCTATTTTTTTTAATGCCTTCTGGGCAAACTTAGCACTTTCTGCAAAGCTCATTCAGCTTTTATATTTCAACATATTTTTATATTTCACTCTCCTTTTTGGCCTTTATCATGCCAATTTTTCCTTCCTTTGTATGTGATCTTTGACAACTTCACCATGGAGCTCAATGAGATGGTTTCATGCTTATTCTACAGGTTCATTTAACTATTTGAAACATGTTTAGAATTTCATGTAAAGAAAGTTTTCCTCCTTTTATGGTCCCCCTCACTATTAGAGCAATTTTTTAAAAACTCGAAAATGTAGCAGGTTGACAGGCAGAAGGGACTGCTGCTAGCTTGGGTTTTGCAACTCAATTGTTCTTCAGTCTTGCATCCTCTTCACAGCTGAGGAGCCTGAGGCCCAAGGCAGACTGGATAAATGAGAAGACTTCCACCTAGAACATTTTCTGATGCATGGTTCAGAGGGGAAGAAGTCTAAATTGTGAGTTCTAAATTCCTGGACTTTCTCTTTGTAAGTCCAGCTGGTGACAAATCCCTACGGAATCTACATCTTTGTCATCTGTCGTATCTATTCCTCTCCATCTCTTAGTTCTGGCCACAATATTCTTTCTCAAACTTAAACATGAACATAATTCCTGGCTTAAAAATCTGAGTGGATCTCTGCCGCCTGTAAGATACAGTACAAACCTCTTAGCTTGGCATTCAAGCCCCTGTACAATCAGCTCCCATTCTTTCTCTAACTTCCATTCTCATTTTCTTAGCCACAGGCCTCCTCCTCACCACCCCCGCCCCCACCTTTGCACTGGAACTATGGCAAAAACTTATCTTTTCTAATGCGTTTTGGTGTTTTGCACTTGAGCTTTTTTCCCCTTTTATAAAATGGGGCACCCAGTCCCGATGAGTGCTCAGCCCTTGAAGGGTACAAAAATTACCCAACATCACTTTGCAGCTCACATATTCAATAAACATTTAAGTCCCAATATGCATAAAAGCTAAATCATGCAGCCTCAAATATATTTTAACAGCCACTCTGTTATCTTCAATCACACTGAACCTGTGTTCCTTGAGGCCTTTTTCATAATAACTATTCTAAAGTCAGCTCTCTGCAATCCAATATTTGAGTGTTATCTTTTGTTTATAATATTTTTAAAGCCAATTACAGGATTATAAACTTATTCCAGTTAATTGCATATGCTGCTCTTGGTGTTGTACGCGGCCCTGCTGAATGTTCACAAATTTTCATTTTAACTGCCTCAGATTTGGTCCATCATCTGACCTGAAGACTACAACTTTGATTTCAGAGTTATTAATTAGAAGCAATGAATTGAACAGAACTAAGACTCAACCTTGAGGAAGCTCTGTCCTGCTTTTCTAATTAACAATCTGGTAAGATATACTAAACATGCCCCTTATCACCTTATTAACAACATTTATTATTCTGAATGAAATGATGGATAAGTCATGCATAACTAAGAATTCTAGGCTGATTTTTTTAAAACAACAATAATTAAATATGCATTATAAATATTCACTTTATTTTAAAAGAATTGGAAGATGTTACATATATTACACACTACATATAATGGCACATGTCAGCCTTTTAAGCTTAAAAATAATCTTTCCCCAAACTGGGATTGACTTAGACTCCAAGTATAAAATGACTCTTGGCCTATAGCACCAACCCAGGCCCAGAGGAAAGCCAATTTTGAACCTGTCTTCCTTGGGCATTTGGCCTCCTGATATGACATGGAGGGTCCTCTTCCCTAATACATTTGTTCCCTGGCAGTACTGAGGCCTGGCACAGGAACCCATTTGACTATACATCACAGGCCTGGGAAATCAGGGAATCTAGTGGGGAAGGGTCCTCTAACAATTTTACAATGGGAAAAAAAAATTATGTGCCTTATTGTCTTTGATTTTGATCTATACAACTACAACAAGACTCTACAAGATAGAAGATTAGAATTACTGAAATACAATTTTTCTGCTGGTTTTTGTCTTTGGAAATTAATGTGTCATGATAGGAGGAGCCTTAAAAATAATCTGGTTCAACACTGGTAACCTGCTCTACTAGTATCTCAGATTTAGGTATAATTCAAAGTTTTAAATGCCATCCATATGCCACTTTGTTAGATAAACACAAAGAAATTTAATAACACTTTTCATTTTCTTTTTCTTATTTCATAAGGACAATTCCACCAAATGTTCTGGCTTATGGCTCTCCTCCTCTTCATAGTATGTTTAAGATACATATTAAGAATCCAAAAAATACCACTGTGGAATTTTCTTAAGCAATATCCAACCAATCAGTAAAACACAGTACACAGTGTGAAAATTTTAATTTATTCCCCTCCTAAGTATCCAGAATATATACCCTCTTAGTTTTGAGAAATGTGACAATGAAAATACCAACTGGATTGATCGTATATAAAGAAAAGCACATACTACACAGGAGACAACCCTAAGTCCTCCCTTACCTAGCAGTGCAAGTTAATGGTATGTTTCTGGCAATATCACCTTTCACTTGATTTATAAAAATTTTACAGGACAGATTTAAAGCAAAGATAGGCCTCTGATTTTTATTTTTATTATTATTTTTAAATCCCTAACAGATTTTTAAAAAGAGGCTATATTAAATGACAATGCATTTTGAGTCAGGGGGAGAAAAAAAAATTAAAAACCCAAAACTTCTTTCAGTTTATTCAAAATAAAAATACACATAGAATTATGAAAATATAGGTTTACTATTTCCACCACGTAAGTTGATGCTGCTGTTTGAAAGGCTTGCAAATTGTTTTTCAAGTTTTTAAAGCTCATCTCGATCCCTCAATAAAGTATACCTATATTCGCTGGGTGCTAATTTCTGGAAGGAGCTCTCAGGTGGACTGCTTGCTACATCTTGGACTTGCTACAAGAGAAAGAATAAAACATATCAATATATTTTGTGGAGTTACACTGTTTTAATAAAAGTATCAGGCAAATGGTAGTTGTCTTGTAATTATTTGCTTAATGAAGATAGCTACTGTGTGCCAAAGATTAGAGTTAAGTTTGAAATCTTACTTTCCCTATTCAAATGCCCTTACTAATATTCTCCAGGGCAGGGCTGCTACAGAGCCCTTACCTCTGGACCTGTTGACAGTTCCTGAGGTGTAGTGGAAGGAAACAAAATACCTGACTCCTAAGTGCCTTCCTACACTGTTTTGTAGAGGAAGCACCACCATGACTAAGATGGCCCAAACCCTTCTCTCTTAAAAATGACCACAGAGAGGATTAAAGGCACCGACAGAACTTTCATTTAGCAAATACCTGGATACCAGAATTTAGTTGACATAAGGAGGAAAATAAACACTTCCATACTGTAAGAAATTAATTTCTATAGTATTCTACTTGTGCATCAACAATAGACAAAAATACACAGAACTCTAAGAGTGACTTCCAAGAATTTCAAAGGAAAGGCAGTGTGTTGTCTATCCCTTTTCTCCACATGACCAAATACACTGTCACTGTTTTAATATCCCCTGTAGTTAACACAGTGTCCATGTTACATACCATGGATACTGGCTTATTTCCATTATTAATGGGAAGCAATGTCTGCAAATTTCCCATTTTATTTTGTCATGTTGCCCCCCCTTCCCTAATACATTTTTCATTTGTATTTTTACTGAGATACATGTTTGGTTTAAGCCATAATTATATTACTATAAAATAGAAGTTCACTGTCTAATGGAGAAGTTGAAATAAATCAGGATAATATAACAATGGTAAGTAACATTTTTTCCTAATCTGATAAAATATTAAGCAGGCCTACTTTCCTGAGGAAATAATCACCTATGGGTTATTGCCAACAAACGGTTTCCTTCTATAGTTGCTTAATTATCAAAGAAAAATCTGACCTCAGACTTCAAGGAAAAAGCATGTCATTGGATTCCTAAAGGGAATTCTTGACAACTGAACTTAATTTGACTCTTCAGGAAAAATTGACTTAGCTTTTATTTTTCTATGTGGAGGTTCCTTAGGCAAAACAATGAAGTTCTGGGCATATGAAATAAGAGTTTTGTTATGTGTCATCTTCCCTCTCAGTATAATGGCAACAGACATATAAATCAATAATGTATCCAAACGCAATTTTTAGAGGTGTTTAACAAAGCAGAAAAGAGAAATTATTTGTAACAGAAGGTACAATGTAGAAACAGTCAAATCAGGCTAAAAGTTACATAAAAAGCAAATACAAAATTTTCATAAATAGTTGTAAAGCATTCTAAATCTCAAATGAAAAGCTGCATTAAACCTTAAGTTTAAAAATTATAAATACTGTATTGGTGAAGGTGCTTAGGATGGTTTAGCAAGAATACCATATCATTATTTTCTTTGTAGTGTGGTCAGTCTCCTGGCCACAGAGGAAGACTTGACCAGTTAACAGAATCCACTGACTTCTTCACTGATCTACCTACTTCTACTTCTTACCTCCTACTTCAGTATTTGAAGCCAACTGTATTTAATCCTTTTATCCATATTCCACAGGACATACTCACAGGACACTTCTGTTTATGTGATCAAGAAACTATTTTGTATCATTCTTGAAACTTTACTGAAGCTCTGTAACTTTAAAAATTAATTTTAAAAGGAACAATTTATTATCTAGAGTCTATTCAGAATTTCATTACAGAGATCTTTAGGAGCAGAAACTCAAGCCTGTACAAGAGCTTCACATCCTCCTCAAGGCTAACTAGAAAAAAGAGCGTTCCCACTGAAAAAAAAAAAAAAAAAAGAGTCCTACCTGTCCTGGGGCTATATCAGTTGGGTCAGGACCATGATGGAATTCTCTGTGCAATTTTCCAGAATGTAAGTCAAATACGAACTGCTTGAGTTTTCCAGGAATTCTAAAACAAAAGTAAAATAAAAATTTAGCTTAAACTGTTAAAGTGGACTTACCTCTATTTTACCAACTTCAAACATTAAGAAAATTTTTTTTCTTTAAATTTTACCTACAGTCCTACCATAACTCTCAGAGGCCAGGTATATGCTGAACATTGCTATACACTTACCATCATGAAATGCAGATGCTCAGTTTTGTGTTCCAGTTCTTGCACTTGTTTCGCAAATTTTTCTACGCTTATTTGAACAGATATATTAGAGTCTATCGGGATGCTGTCCTAAAACTTACTTAACCGTCCCTTATTGTTGGGCATTTTATATATTTTCCACAACATATGTGACTAAAAAAAATCTCATATTCTGCAGAATCACGCTAAAAATGACGGGGCTCAAGGGAAAAACAGCATTAGGGCCTCACCACTTAAAACTAAGTAGCTTTGCAACCAGAGTACTATAAAAACCCTGGAAGAAAAATACTAGCACTGTTTCAGCCTCCACCACTGTGCAGGCAAGGTTAACCTCTGTAGCCTTAACCTAGAGCCTGTAAGTCCTTTTTTGAGATATGAACCGAGGTCCTTGAGGGCATTCACTGCCAGTAGAACCAATTTCATCAAAATAATTTAAATCAGGATGTAGCTTTTTCGCTTACCCCCCCCCCCCCCCCCCCCCCGCCCAAGCATAAGGGAAAATCTCACAATGTCTTCAACCACGTGGGCACTCCACTGGATAGCTTAATACTGTGAAAAGCAAAGCACTTCTCAAGGCCATGAAACTGACGGTCCTTTGCTTTTTTGGTTGGGGAAGGTCTTCATACACCACTAAAGTATTCTCTCCCTTTTCAAAATATTTTTGAGAGCGCACAAGCACGTGCATAGGGGGTGGGGCAGAGGGAGAGAAGCAGACTTCCCCTCGCCAGGACCCTGAGGTCATGACCCCCAACCAAAACCAAGAGTTGGTCAGTTAACCGACCGAGCCACCCAGGTGCCCCTAAATCACTCTTTAATGGTGAAAACACTTTTCTTTGATGGCTTCAAAACATTCTGACGAAAATAGTATGAACCAACACAACTTGCTTATTTTAACAATATTCCCCTAATTATCACTCGTGCTATGAGCAAGTTTGCACTACAGAGACATGCACTGTAGTAAAACAGACCAATATAAGCTAAGCAGAGTCACCTTTCAGCCTTCTTTTTTTTTATGTATTTCCTTTGAGTTGTATCCAATAGAGTAGGAATATAGACTTTCCTCAACTTGCAAAGGGGATACAGCCCAATAAACTTACCCTGAATTAAAAAATCCTAAGCACACTTTAAACACGTTCAGAACATTTATAATACCCTACTTGAGCAAAATCATCCAATGCAAAGCCTATTTTATAATAAAGTACTTAATATGTAACACTGCATTCTGTACTGGAAGTGATAAACAGTGGCTGCACAGGTCCAGTACGTGTGTCAGTTGATGCTTGTGATCCCAAGGCGTACTGGGAGCTGTGGCTCACTGCTGATCCCCAGCATCACGAGAGTGTCTTAGTGCACATCACTAGCCTGGGAAAGATCAAAATTCTCAAAGTGTAGTTTCTACTAAGTGCGTATTCCGCTTTTGCACCACCAAAAAGCAAAAAATTGTTAACTCATCCTAAGTTGAGAGTCTGTTGAGTAAATAACTTGACTAAGTGTGGGCAAATTATACCTACAAAAGAGTCCATTTTTGCTATTTGTCTACCTGTTCTCTGAAGTCTTGCCAACATGTTTATTAAAATTTGTTTTACTACTTTAATAAAAGACACCTGCATTTCAATTTTCATCAGAAATTAAGCATTTTTCCACCATTTTAATTTATATTTCTGCTCATATGAATTGTTAGTCTTCTACTGAAATCCTGGCATTTCGAAAATTCATTATATATTTTAAATAGAAACTTTTCTTCATATCTCTTACAAGAATTAAAATGCAGGTCCATAAACAGTTTAATTGAGAAGAATTGCCTCACTTTTTAAATCATCGTTTTTTGGTAGCACACTGTTAGTTTCTTTTATCCTCTCCTGAGGTCCTGCAAGTGCTGTTTCCTCCCTTCAATAACTCCCACTGAGATGTACCAACCAATAACTTCATTGTACACCCATTTTGGCTCCCCACTTAAGCTCCAATGCAACAGAGACCAGCAGGTGCCAAAAGCACAGTTTACAAATACAGATGACTGTCAGGTAGCTGTATTGACAGAAATGCCTCTGAGAGGGTCTGTGGTGCTGAAGAAATTGCACATGCACTAAAGATTAACACTGAGAGGAGATCAATTTAAATTTAATATGACATCATCTACTGTCACCCACAACAAAGTGAATATATCCATTCCAATCAAAGAATCACAAATGGTCTCTAATGTTTACGATAAAGCCCCCGTTAAGTCTGTTATTTTATACAGTCCAAAGACGACAGCAAGCAATACAGAGTATGACTTGCTTCTGATAGTCAAAAAATAATTTATAATTAAATCTTAAATGGAACAAATTTGTAGAGAACACTCAAAACAGATTTTTTTCCTAACTTGGTTCTTTCCCCTTGTCAACAGATGAAAGAATTGTGAGCAAAAGGCAAAGGGAGATAGGATGAATCTGAATTGATGTGGTAGAAAACAGATTACAAAAGAGCTCTTATCTAGCTTGTGGCCAGAAAATATCCATCTTTAAGTAACAATCAGTGAATCACAGTATATTGTCAAGAAAACAGAAAACATGGTTATCTGCTAGAAAGGAAAATAAAGGGATCCTTGCCATAATAAATTCAATTATATTTTCATACCTTAGGATACAGTTTTTCTAATTAGAACACCTAAGTGTTTCTTTCCTACCTTTCAAACACTTTTCTGTTTTCAATTTTGATTTTTAGGTGATGCAAAATTTAGATAGAGTGAAATGCACAAATGTTAAGTATCATTAAATGAACTTTGACATATGTATATCACAGTGAGAAGCATTTTTTTTTAATTCACATACAATGGAATTCACTCTTCTAGACTTATAGTTCTGAGTTTTAACATATGCACACAGCATCTAGTTACTATCTTCACAAATAGGATACATAACAATTTTTTTTGGTCAGACCCTCCACTTCCCCCTAACTCTTGCCAGCCACTGATCTGTTCTCTGTTCCTATAATTTGCCTTTTCCAGAATGTCTTGTACTTGGAATCATACAGCATGTAACCGTGAGACTGGCTTCTGGCATACTGCTTTTGAGATTCACCCGTTCTGTTGCATGTATAATTGTTCCTTTATTTACTGAATAGCATTCCATTGAGTGGATATACCACAATTAGTTTATCCTTTTACCCAATGAAGAGTATTTGGGTTCAAGATCTTGGTGATTCTGAACAATGCTACTACAAACATTTGTACACAGGTGTTTGTGTGAACATTAAGTTAACTTCTTTAGGATAAATACTGGCTTATATAGGAGGTATAATGTTTAACTTTTTAAAAAACCTGCCAAAGTGTTTAGAGTGGCTATATCATTTTGCAACCCCACCCGCAATGTGTAAGAGTTCCAGCGTTCCAAATTCTCACCGGGGGTATTATAAGTACTTAAATTTAGCCATTCTAAAAAATGTATAATGGGATCTCACTGTGGTTCTAATTTGCATTTCTCTAGTGTCTAATGATGTTGAACACCTCATCATGCGCTTATTTGCCATCTGTGTATCTTCTTTGCATTCTAACAGTATCTTTTATGGAGCAAAAGTTTTTAATTCGTTGAAAGCCAATTATCAATTTTTTCATTTATGGATAGTGCTTTGGGCATACTAAGATCAAACAGAGTTTCTACATTTACTTCTAAGGGTTTTATAGTTTTACCTTTCACATTGAAGTCTACAATCAATTCCGAGTTAGTATTTTATAGGAGAAGTTTCTTTCATGGAGATGTTTAGGTGCTACAGCACCATTTATTGAAAAGATTACCCCCTTCCATTGAGTTGTCTTTGCATCTTTAAAAAAAAAAAATCACTATTTGTGTGCCTATTTCTAGATTCTCTATTCTGTTCCACAGCAACACATACCTATTTTTTTCACAGATACTATGCTGTCATAAATATTTTAGCTATATAGTAGGTCTTAAAATGGGGTATTATGAGTCCTTTCTTTTTCAATTGTTTTGTTTCAATTATTCTAGTTTTAACTTCCCATATAAATTTTAGAATCAGCTATATCTACAAAAAAATCTACTTATATTTAGATTGAAATTGCATTAAAGCTATAGATAAATGTGAGGAGCAGTGACATCTAAACAGTACTGAGTCTTCCAACCCATGAACACAGTATGTTTCTCCATTAATTCTGGTCATCTTTGATTTCTTTCATTGGCGTTTTGTAGTTTTTGTCGTTATATGTATACATAGTTCTTTTTTCTTTCTTTTGGAGCCTATTATGAATGGTTATTTAAATGTTTTGGGGTTTCCAAATGTTCATAGTTAAAATATAGAAATAAAAGTGATTTTCTGGGGCGCCTGGGTGGCTCAGTGGGTTAAAGCCTCAGCCTTCAGCTCGGGTCATGATCCCAGGGTCCTGGGATCCAGCCCCACATCAGGCTCTCTGCTCAGCAGGGAGCCTGCTTCCTCCTCTCTCTGCCTGCCTCTCTGCCTACTTGTGATCTCTGTCAAATAAATAAAATCTTTAAAAAAAAAAGGAAATAAAAGTGATTTTTTAAAAGGTGACCTTGTATCCTGCTGAACTCATTAGTTCTAGGAGCTTTCTTGTGAATTTACTGGGCATTTCTACTACATACACAATCATGCTACCTACAAAGGAAGATAGTTTCTTTCTAGTCCAAACACTTATTTTTTTGTCCTATGGTACTTGCTAGGACTTCCAGTATCACACAACTGGTGAGGGTGAACATTTTTTTTTCTTTTTAAATTCACTTAATTAACATATAGCATATTATTCATTTCAGAGGTAGAGGTCAGTGATTTGTCAGCTGCATATAACAACACCCAGTGCTCATTAT